ATAGTTTAGTTCAATTGAATGTGTTATTTATAACAATACAGTTTTTTTTTCTTTTAAAAAACATAACTATTTATAATGCTCTCTAAATATAAAAAAAATAAATTACAGTGAAAGCAATGAAGATTTTGTAGGTTTTAAACCAAACTAAATAACAGTAAACCATTTTTTGATTTACGGTATTTTCTTATTTTGATGTTTAGAACAATATATACTAATTTTTAAAGTATCAAATTGAATTTTTCTTCAACAAAAATCTTTCAAATGCGAATGTAGCTATTTTTCCCCAAAATTTTGTCTTCAAAATAAGGGTGCATCTTATACACCGGTGCATCTTATATTCCAAAAAATACGATAAGCATTCATATGTAGACATACCAATAAAGCACGTATGAATTTCTGCACAATTGGACTGATGAAATGGGCACTGAGAAACTATAATATTCATATACTAGATAGATTATGGAAAGCAACAGGGAGGACTAGTATGCTTGGGACATATCAATCTTATTTCATCACTTTTTGCAATGAAAACTATGCATCAGGGTTATTGTTAAGATGCATGGTCATCAGATAGAACATGACTATATGGTGGCATGGACTAACAACGTGATGAGATTCCAAAATCTTTTTATTATAACTTATTCAACCTTCATTTATATTTTGTCTGTCTCATCCAACCAAAAAATATTGGCTTTGATTGGCATTAATTAATTAATGTCACTTTTTGTTAGATGAAAAAACCCATACAACTTGTATTTCCAAACAAAATGTATATTAAATGAAATAGTTTCCATTTTTATTGATGATGCTTTTCCATCCTACAATTAGGTTGTTAATGCCCTGATTAAAGAAATCACTTGACTTTAAAGCAAAAAACATGTCGATGTCCTCTTTAACACCTTCCATATTTGTGTACATTTTCCCATTAAGATAGTGTTAAAGGAATGAAAAAGACAGTAATCTGATGGTGCCATATCTGGAGAATATGGTGGGTGTGGGGAGAACTTCCCAATCCAACTCCATAATGTGTTGCATCAAATGTGCCACATGTAGATGTGTATTGTTGTGGAGAAGAAGAACACCTTTATGATTGACAAGTGAAGGGCATTTATGATGAAGGGCTTGATTTAAACATTCCAGTTGCTGGCTTATAGATCTCTGCATCAAAAGTTTGCTGTGGATTGGGGAGTTCGAAATGAATTAATCCTTTGATGTCCCACCAAATACAAAGCATCACTTTCTGCAGATGGAGTCCAGGTTTTTGGGTCAAAATTGGTTTTTGTCTATGACTAAGCTATTGTTTTTGGTGTTTAATATTC